GGGTGTGGGGGTGGGGTGGGTTGGTAAGGGTGGAGAAAGTTGAGAATGAGTTTTGGAAAATATTTTTTCTTTTTCTAATAAGGAAAATATTTTTCAAAACATTTAAGCCAACCAAACATGAAAAAATTAAAAATATTTTCCCAAAAAAAAAATTTCCTTCTACCAAACACACCCTAAAAGTCCAAAAGTGAACAAGGAACCATTCGAAATAGAAAATGGGTGATTCGATTTTATTTTTTTACTTGGGAATTGAAGCAGAAGCTGTTAAATATTTAATTTTTTATGTAAGACTAGAGAATTATCAACGAAAGAATATTTTCAATGTCAAAGAGATATCTGACGAGACTACTAGCATTTCAAGAAAAACAAATAAAAAGATAAAACTGTAGAATTTGAACGAGATTGAAATTTGAAAGAACCGATTCAACGCAGTTGGAAAAAGGTGAGAGAATGCTGAAATTTTAGTTCTTGAAAAGAAAACAATAATAGAAAGAGAATACACAAAGCAACTACACGTCAAATTAAGGTAAGTAGTATTAAATTCAATTAAGCCATTGTTGATAGCCAGCCTTGAGCTATAAATGCACAAGATTTTCAAAGATCAGTCTTAAGAAGTCACTCCCATCGTCGGACATAATATTGCAAAAAAAAAAAATATTGGAAGGGGGAAGGAAAAAGCATATAAGTCTAAACAAAAAAATATTTAAAAAATGAAATATTCAGTCCTATAATGTTGCTAGAGGGGCACATCTGATGCTGCCTGGCATTATGGTCACACGACCTGGTAAGTCTCCGTGGCCAGCTGTGTTCTTTGAGAATGCTTAGGAGTAGGCCCACCTTTTATAGGCAAAATGTTGACAACCTGAAAATTTTACATCAAATCAAGTTACCATAAAAGGAACCAACTCCGGACACATGGTTAATACAAGCTATTGGAGATTAACTGTACTGAGCATAGTGAAAAAAACTGATAAGAACAGCTACTACTAAACTTGATCTCAACCAAAGCAACACATCAATTGCACAGTTACAAAAGATATCAGCTGACACACCATACTATGAAGCGAAGACTAGGTGAAAAGAGACAATAATCACGAGTCTTTTGATTCTTGGATCTTTATAGATATTCAGTTATTTTTCCTGTAGAGCAATTATATTTCTTTCATATTAATCAAAGAACTAGGGACTGTATTTAGATTTGACGTTACTTATATCGTCGTCCAGCACACTAATTGTTGTGTCCAAATTTCCCAAATGGAAGTTCCGTGACACAACTGGATAACTTATATAAATGATACATATCAGCAAAAGATCAACATGCATAGAATCACGATACAGAAAACTCCAACATTTTGTAACAGTTACCAGGATTGCAAGCCACAGGAAGATTCTTCCACGGAAATGAATAGGTATAATGGCAGATCAGATATAAGGATTGCATGCAAATAAATCAAATTAGCTGTGCATGTGTATCAAGAGTATCAAATAATCTCCAGACACGAGCTGTCTAATCAGGTCAGCACATACCCGGGAAAAATAAGAGTCTCCCCAACTGAAGGCCAAAATTGATTGAAGCAATATAAGTATATAACATGGAGGATTAGGAGCAAACCTTCAGGTCACTGAAAGTTCTTGAGGCAGTGAAGCGTGCAGAAATTGGGAAGAAGACCGAGGGATCGGCTGCCGGAACAACAAATTCTAGTGCTCCACTGCAAAGTTTCCAACTTACACATTAGAAAGACAGACAAGCCTTAATGGCTGTGTGCTTCAAAAGGACAAACTTTAATAAAAGCTAACCTGCGGTTTGAATTGTCAATGAGAAGTACAGACCACTCCAAAACAGAATTTCTGGGGTCATACCTGCGATCAGAGGGCGAAAAATGCTAAGTTCTAGATAGAATATTTGGCAATCTGTACAGCACAATCTAGCAGCTCCATACAACTTACCAGTAACACAAAGTCAGTCAATCATCTATGCCTCAGAACAGTAATTAAATAAAATCTTTGGTCAATTCGTATCGGGGCCTTGGCCAACTATCTACTAGGTCTATGATAAAGGGCTGAAATAAAACATTCTGTGTTGCAATTCCGCTGCCTGTCCATTTTCCTCAACACTTATCATACCACACAACAATACAGCTTTAGCTGCAGCCGGAATAACTAGGTGGCATTCAAATGAACTTCCTAAACCACCGATTCTCCAAAAATCCTATCTATAAGCAACCAAATGAGTAAAACACATGAAACAACTGCCTTGCTCTCACCATAGTGATACAAACTGAACGTTTTCGCAATAAACAAATGAGCATCTTAGAAGTATTATGATCTCTGTGCAAGGCCATTTCAGCCTTGAAAGCCTCTATCATAAGATCTATGTTAGATTCAGTTTGAAATCCAGTGAGAATAAATCTCTGATATAAAGGGGTGAGCTTTAAAATCTAGCAAAAGACCAAAAGTTAAATTCAAAAGATCACCTCCACTCTCCGTCTATTTGTTGTACATTTGGAGCCTCCCTAAGAGCTGGAAGGGGTACAGAAATTACAACATTTTGTAGATCAATCTGTGCAGGGGTTTCATACTCGATATTCACATAGGTTTCGCTTCCAGAAACTGAAGGCCAGCAGTTAACTGAGACAAAATATTTGAAATCAATGATACCGTATAATATTAATAAAACACAGAAGACAGCATAGAGATTTCGAGCAGGGTCAACTGAAATTCATTAAGCTTACTTGTCAATGGCAAAATTGACTCATCTGCAGTTTGCATTCTCCACCTCAAAAGACTAACGCCGTCACCACCTTGACCCGTGGGGAATGGCCTATTTGGATCTTTAAGGCCTAGGATATTTTCATTAGAAAACAACTCCTTGTTCATGTTTGGGTGTGTTTTGAAGAGGATTGCTGGATTACCACTGGTTTCAATCTGAACGTAAAGTACAGAATGAACGTGAACTACATTATCACAAAATTCACAGAAGCAAAAGCAAATATGAGTGCCTTCTGGCGTCAGATAGACCTCCAAATGCAGAGATACAGAATCTAGCTTCATCAAATGGAAAAAGGCCTAGTTGAGTCTTCAGCTATATTATAAAGAGTGTACCAATGGAAATGTTTTACTAGTGTTCCTTAGAGGAGAAATCATTTATTGCAAGTGCTGGAACAAACATTAGGTTCTCTGTGCCCTCTTTCAATTGTTTGCCAGTCGCATATCAAATGCAATCAAATGAGTAGAGCTAGAAACAGTGCTTTGCTGCAGAGGACATAGATGACGAACTCCGCTTCACAAGGACATCAACATGCAAACTGCAAGTTTTACTGGGTTCTTTTTTTCTTTTTCACAGATAGGGAATACAAATAAAATTATTGACATTGGACATACTCCTGACACTTTTAGACTTTCCAGGGAGCCTCAGCACATGAGAAACTCGGCAAACTTGGGAGAGAGAGAGAGAGAGAGAGAGAGAGAGAGAGAGAGAGAGAGAGAGAGAGA